GTATGGCTTTCGAAAAGATAAAAGCACCATGGACAGCATAGGCATTTTCACCACTGATATCAGATTAGCCTTCTCAAATAATCATTCCCTTCTTGCTGCATTTATTGATATATTTGGTGCTTACGACAATGTAGACATTCAAATCTTAAAAAACAAACTTATAAAACTAGAAGTTCCTTTGTTTTTGATCGATTTCATTATTAACCTTCTTTCAGAAAGATTGATAAAAATAGATATGGGAGATGGCAATTTTAAATCTAGGCTGACATGGAGAGGACTACCTCAAGATTCGGTTTTGAGCCCTTTACTGTACAATGTCTATACGTATGATTTGGAGTCTTACATCGCAGGCAGAGCTAACAATATGCGGATGACTTAGGTTTTTATGTATCCGGATCATCTATTATTGAATTAAGTCAATCTTTAAGTAATGTGTTAACACTCTTAAAATCATGGTTAGATAATAACTCACTGAGTCTTTCTGTTTCTAAAAGTTATGCCGTCTTATTTACAAGAATACGATCACCCCCATTATTTCTGTACATTATGGTAATGACATAATTCCAATGTGTAATGAAGCTAAATTTCTAGGAATCATTCTAGATTCCAAATTAACTGGTTTATCACATTGCTATTATGTATCAGCTCGATGTGAAAAATTATTAAACATTTTAAGATGCCTATCTGGTGTTTGGTGGGGAGCTCATCCATCAACACAAAAGTTAATATATAATGCTATTATCAGAAGTATCCTTGATTATGGAACTTGCTTTCTGGAGCCCTGTAGTGCATTAGCACTAAGTAAGTTAGATGGCATTCAGTCTAAAGCTCTTCGCATTGTAACTGGCGCCAAGAAGTCAAGTCCTATTAACGCACTCCAGGTTGAATGTGTAGAGCCTCCTTTAAAACTAAGGAGACAATTTTTATGTGATAAATTTCTATTTAGAGCCCTTCAACTTTCTGACCACCCTGTTTTTAAAAAGTTACACCATTTATTGCGTAAAATTAATAATTCGGCATATTGGAATAACAAGTCGCTTCCCTGCTTGGTAATCAGCTACATTAAATTTACTTCACTGCTAGCACCCACCCACCGATCACAATATCTTCCTATTTTTTCTATTAATTATGAAACTCTTACCATTTCACCCAAAGTAATTTATCTAGACTCTTTACGTAATGATAAAAATGCTAATATTAATCTAATGAGTATTGTTAATACAGAATGGCCAGACTGGCATTACATTTACTGTGACGCATCTAAACATCCATCTGGGATAGTTGGAATCGGTGTTTACCACCAACAGTATAAAATAACACAAAAAATTAAATTACCCCCAGAAACCTCAGTATACACAGGAGAATGTTATGGAATCCTTAAATCATTAGAATACATTTTGCTTGCACAACTCAAAAAGACAATTATTTTTTCCGATTCCAAAAGCACTTTACAGGCTATAGAAAATTTTCCTTTTAAAGCTTCTTCCTCTAATGCTTATTTGATCGATTGTAGGAAATTATTACTGAATTGTACTTTGAAGAATCTAAATGTGCTCTTTGCGTGGATACCTGGCCATCATAACATCACTGGCAATGAAGTAGCTGATAAACTCGCTAAAGATTCAGTTAATTGTGGTGACGTCTTTCCCTATAAAAATTTAGTACATGATCTTCTTTTACTTCCTAAAGTGCATCTACGCATATCTTGAGAAGAAAATTGGGATACTAGTAGTTGCATCAAAGGTAAACATTATAAATTAATTCAACAATGTATTCCCGATAAACCATGGTTTTCTAAATTTCATTTAAGTAAGTTTGCCACATCAAGTCTCATAAGAATGCGCCTAGGTCATAACTGTTCTTCTTCCCACCTGGCTAAACTGGGCATAGTAAATGATAATATTTGTGCTTGTGGTACTGGAGCAGAGGACTTAAATGACATCTTCTTCGAGTGTCCCCTCAATGATTCCTCCTCTTTTATGGATTCATTAATATCCCTTAATGTACCTCTCCCTACTTCTATTCCTTCCTTATTGTGTTATAAAAATTATAATATATATAACAAGCTATCTGAATTCCTAACTAAACATAATATAAAATTATAAGTAATTTATTAGAAATAATATAATGTATTTTATATATTTAAAAAGACCTATTACTTACGTTTCAAATTAATTTTACGTACTTACCTGATCCTTATCCTTCCAAATTCCGTTTCACAACCTTTTTATTTCATTATTTTGGTTTCCTTACCTTTTACCCTGTCGTGGCCAATGCACAAACCGTGCGAGCCATTATAATAATAATAATAAAAAAAAAAACGGTTGGCGCGGACTTTTTGGCGGGATCGTGAAGCGTCACTTTAGCAGTTTTGTTTTTCTTATTAAAAATTGTGTTGTGGCGGATGTTAGTGTCTAATAATGGTGGATTATTAACCACTAAGTGTTCGGGAACATGCACAAGTGTTGGCAAGTGAAACAAAATAGCGGAAAGTGTCTTTCGACGTTCCCTCAAGAAGTCCACGTGGAGGTTCCAGTAAATCCTCACACATTTACTGAAACATAGGGAAAGGGGGTTTGACTTGACTGCCACTTACTTGGACTTGATTTATTACTTTGACCACGAGTGCTATAGAATTTGTAAATATTTTAACACTTGAAATTTGCACAGGCCGTGAAAAGCCATGTAAAATAAACGGTTGGCGCCATTTTCTAAAAATTTGTTTTGCTAGTTTAGTTGTTTGTTTAATTATTTATTACATGTCAAATACGTTGGTTGCACAAAATGAGTAATTTTGACGATATTTTATTTTCATTAACACCACCGGAACTCAGTATAATTGCACGGCCTTAGGCCGTATATAGAAAGAAAGCTGTACTAATTGTTAGTGGAAAGTTTTGTTCATGTATGTTATTTTCTATATTTAATTAATTTAAATGTAATAAATTATTGCTTGTTTCCCAAATAAAAATAATTTAAAAAAATAAAAAGAAAGCTGGTAGCCTACCAGTGCTTATAGGAACCGGTTCGCGCAGGTAACCGGCGCAGGCATTTCTATGGACCAGCGCCGAACGTCATCGACAAGTTCTGACAATCTTCGACACGCGCTGGTCAGCGCTGGCACTGCCCTTTGAAATTAATGAACAACTACGCTTCAACCTGCTTCCTTTATGCAACTGTTATCAGTAAGGACCAGCGCTGATAAGCGCTGGTCGGCTCCCAACTTTCTTTCTGGATACGGCCTTTTGGTCGAGGTTTTCGATGATAAAAAGTATGCTGAAAATAAGGAACAACGTGGATATAAGTGAATACCCAAAACTAAATGCTCTCTTAAAACGACAATCAGACGGTTTTACAATTAAAAACTTTTTAATTTATTGTTGTACCTTTTGTTGACATTAATAATATAAAAACCGCTTTAAAAAAAAAGTCGAAAATATTAACATCGAATGAAGTGGAAAGGTTTTTGAACGAAGCTCCCGATGATCGTTATTTAACCACAAAGGTAATAATTTATTAATAAATACTTATATTTTTCTTTAGTATTCTGTTTACGAAATCGCAAAATACAGTCAATATTATTTAATTTTTATTTATTTATATTATTTAAAAAATATTAATCAAAACCCTGTTTTTGTACATTGCGCTGATTTTTGGCGTTATTGGAGCTTGCCACAGAGAGGAGATAGCCAATATTACTTTAAAAGATATTGTAACCCTTGATACTTATCAAGATTCCGAATACAAAAAATAAGATACCGAGAAGCTTTGTTATTGAAGGAGATTTTCTTAGAACAGTGCATAAATATATGAATCAGCAGTCCTAAAAAGCAAAACCTACCGTTTTTTTCAAAATTATCAAAAAGGGAAGTGTACAACTCAAGCATTCGGGATAAACAAATTTGGTAATATGCCAAAAGAAATAGCTACGTTTCTTGGTCTTCCGGATGCTGAGTACAGCTGCTGGAGGACCTCTGCTACATTATTGGCAGATTCAGAAGTCAATTTGACGTCCTTAAAGCGACTAGGAGGTTGGAAGTCAGACAAAGTTGCAGAAGGCTAATTCATTAAACAACAAACTAGAAACTGGGATATAGATCACACAATCCATTAATATAAAGTCCAGTCCGTCTCCTTCACATGACAATACTGAAGAGAACGTTCGTCCATCTACCTTCGTTAATAATGATAATTCATCAGATCTAATTCCATCAACTAGCAAACGCCATTGTACAACACCTTTGACTTTTTCGGTACTCATAATTATGAGTACAGAAGTAAGTCATATGATTTTTATGAGTATTGAAATCTACTGCAGTTTGCGTAACGTGGTTTTATACAAACTTTCAAATGTATATCTTGGATGTGATAACGTCAATTGTCAACATCATAATATTTAACAGATGATATGAAACAATACCAATATAATTACGATACTGAGGAAAAATTACGAAATAATGAAAAATAAATTTAATGAAAAAAGCTGTAGTTAAAAAAAGAATTGCAAGTATTGCACATTTGTTAACATTCTTACACTTTTAAGAAATTAATGAATCACCATGCAACTTTAGTTTTTGATAGAGTTCGCGTTTCAACAAATCCTTTGGTCAAGGATTATGAAATTTAAAAAATCCACTAGGTACCAGCCTACTTTGATTTATTTTTATTTGATTTGGTAAGATGATAATCACTAGCTTCATTTCATGATCATGTTAAATATTATTAAATCAGACAATTGCTTATTTTGCAATGTGTAGTAAAGCACATCAAGGAATTACAATAATTCCAGAGCTAGTCAATAATAAGCTTTTAGTTATAATAAATTATCTCAGCTCAATTAATGATATAAATTCATGAATACTAATACGTTAATTTAAAATTATGTATCGAAAATTGATAAAACTTTAAATTCCAGTTATTTTCAAATAAAGTCAGTGAGAATAATAATTCACATTATCAACAACCTACTTAATCTTTATGGCATTGAAGTTTTTACTTACCGCTCGTTATCAAAACTTCACAAAATCACAGAACACAGAGACCACTTTTTGTTAATCTATACATAAAATAATATGGTAGGAAAGTCAAAACTCTACATTGATTTTTTTTTAAAAGAATACTTAGGGTGTTATCTACAATCGATACCGAAGCCAATAATACAAGTTTTAGAATTTTTGTCTGTTTGTCTGTATGTATGTGCGGGATAAACTCAAAAAGTTCTGCATGGATTTACTTCAAATTTGGCACGAATATTATTAAGAAGTCGGGTTAACATATAGGCTACATATTATCACGCCATCACCTACGGGGAACGAGCAGTGAAACAAAAAGTATGTGCAAATAACTAACTCCAGGCGTACGAAGTCGCGGGCGGCCGCTAGTTGGTTATAAACTAGAATTATCGAGTCAACTTGAGCCGCGATCAAACAGTACGCTCGGCACGAATGTCAGTGCAGACTACGCCCGCGCCGCCTGCCTCATTAGCTCTTATAAGGAACAGTGCACTATGTAAGAGTCCATTAGAAGATTACCGAGGCGCCTGAGCCGTCCGTTCGAATGTTAAACACCAGAATTCATCTGAGTTTTTCTTACAAGATCTTGCGGGATTATCCTGCCACAGAGGATACGCAACTTTTAACAGAAATTGTCATCAGTTTACTTGAATATGTTTTCTCGGATGTGTGCAGTCGTCATCTTAATAGCAACATTAAACTGTAACACTAACTTAATGAAACTTAATTCATTATCTTATATATTATACAAAGTTAGACTCACTGAGTTGTATAAAAAAAGTTAGCTACACACAAGAATCAACTTCAAAATATACTGGTACTTACCTATCTAACATAAGGATCAGATTGTTAACTGAATTAATCACAAGAATTGTAAATAACATTTAAAAAAACAATGTTGAGTATGAAAAACAACCGTTTGAGTGTTCCGTATAAACGGAACCCTATAACTAACACTCCACTGTCCATCTGTCTGTCTGTCACCAGGCAGTATCTTATAAACCGTGATAGTTAGATAGTTAAAATTTTCACAGATGATGTATTTCTGTTGCCGCTATAACAACAAATTCTAAAAACGGAATAAAATAAATATTTTAGAAGAGCTTCATACAAACGAATACGTGTTTTTTGCTGGATGTTGTAATAAAGATAGTGTGTATAAGAAAATGTTGTATAGATAATGGTACGCAACCCTTCGTTCGCGAGTCCGACTTGCACTTGGCTATTTTTTTTTTTCATTTTAATCAGCGTCTTGCAAGAGTGAGTTGGAAAATACGTTGGTATAAAATTTTGTGTCAAATTTTGGGCATCATCTACACTTTGATTATGAGAGTATATAATCAAAGCATCTATATTACCCGGATTTCAAAGTAAATGCAGCACTTGTATTATGAAAATCAAAGATCCGAGAAAAAAAACTATTTTATTTTGGTACATGTTTAGATCATAAGCTATCAAACACCCCAGATTCGCCCGACAGTCGCTAAAAGTTTTTACTAACATTTTCCAAAGATGATTAGCCAAAGTACAAATTGATAAAAAACTACTGTTGTTGATGATGTGAGTGGGCGATTCACGGGAGAAACGACGACGAGCGTTCAGTGTAGAATCAATAATTTATTAATTTATCCTACATCTTATATACTACTTACAAAACGTTACTACGTGCTTAGGGCTAAGGTACCTAATCGTATAGGGGAAGTGTTATCAACATGTAGAAAACGTGATTTACATTTATTTCACTACACCAGCAATGCCTGCTCTTTCAATTTTCACAATCCGTAATTTGTGGCTTATCGTATTAAAAGCCTCCAAAAGGTCATTAAATTTTACATAACAGACCCGGATGTTGACTATACCATCAGAGGTCCTCAACCCGGGAGGAGCGCTACTAATTTTGACATTGTTGTGTAATTAAGTATTGATGAGACCAGGGGGTCAATCGCCTAACGGAATTGCTATGGCTACCGCTATCACTTACGATTTCATTTTGTTGTTTCTAACCGCCGAAAGTTTTTAAATACCTTACGCTCATTTTTTTTAATATTGTTGTTACCAAAACAAAAGAAAAAAAAGAGTTCGGGGCATTTGAAACCTTCAGGGGTCAGAAATAAAAAAAATAATTGAAACCGTTAAGGTGAATGGCCTCCAGAACTTTTCTGAATTACTCTCTAAACCTCTTACATTGTTCCCATAAAAAAATTCTTTAGTTTTTTTTATATTTCTTCGAACTTCATTAAGTAATTTATTGTATTCTTCCCGTTTCTCTAGGTTATTTGGTTCTTTTTTTTATTTTATTCCATACTTTATTTTTACATTAAGATTTCTTATTATATTTTTATTAATCCAATCCTTTTGCGAGATTGATGACAATATACAATTTCCTAATTCACTTTAATCATTGGATTCGAATATTTTGTTATTAATGTAGTTTTCAAGTTCTTTACAGTATGTCGAAAAGTAACGTTTCTTCTTTAGTTTTGGAGTTCTATGTTTCTTAAATTCCAGATAGATTTGCTTGTATAGACAAAAATCGACAGTTCCTCCTGCAAGTTTGTCAAAGCATTTGCTGTCTCTCTTATGCAAAATTTCTTTTTATGTGGTTTATAAACTGAAAGTCAGATTGGTATAAAAGTGCTCTAGACCAATTAATTTCATTATCTGTCTTGTTTAATAAGTTTATGTTGAAATCACCAAAGACTATACTTCTGTTATGTTCTTGTTACTGTTGACCAAAGATATCAAGATAATCAAAATAATATTACCCAAAGAAACGTTGCAGTGGCATATTTCAAAGGAGTATTTTGAATTTCGTTTTTTACTGAAATATAGGTTGAAGATGATAAATAACAATTATTTATGGAGCCCAAGAACATTACTAAATAACGTTAAATTGTTTTCAAAAAGTTGGCAAATACCCTATAACTGGCATTACCAAGTCCAGGATTACTTAAATGATCGAAGCGTTTGGCAATGAGGGTATCGTTCATTTATGTAATCAATTGCATATACCTATATGTAAAAATTATGCTGATAAGTTTCTTGCGCAAATTCTTCTATTAGCTAAGAAATCGGTAAAATTGTACATTCAGGGCCCAAGAGGTGATACTTGATTTTTTTTGTAGAAAAGGTCTTTTTTAATACAGGTTTTTTTCTGGCGACATGGTCACAAAACCCTAACTAACCTATCCTAACCTAGTGTGAAGTATCACCGCTGGGGCCCTGGAAGTACAGTTTAGCCATAATGAATGGGTAGTAGGAAAATAAATTGGGTGATTCAAAAGTACTGTCTAATAAGTCAGTTTGAATATAATTTATTTGCATTCCAATTAAAGTCAAAAATCATAAAATCAAATTTTGAAATTGGTTCAAGCATCAGCGATAGTATAATTATTGCACCCGTATTAAGTCGGGTCGCCAGTAGGTACATAATAAAATTAAAAATTTTAGCGTAATAGCCATTAATCAATTAAATGAATAAAGGAAGCGATAAAAGCCTTTGGAACCGATTTAATAATATCAGTGGTAAATGGCATAATTCACTACGGTTATGATAACATGCTTATAAATGAGAACATTGTGGCAAACATTTGCAGTGGTGCTACAAAACGCCAACATGAAGGTCGCTGTGCTGTGTTTATGTGAGTAATTAATTTGGTGCAAAGCAATATAAACAATAATATGTAAAAATGAGCTTTAAAAATCCATCGTACAAGTGCGAGTGGACTTGCAAACATTACAAGCAGAATAATTAAAACTAGATCGAGGAGAACAAGTCAGTTAATCCAGCCAATAACCATTCTCTCAAAGTTTTTTTAGGGTTTTAGCGCGCGGCGTGTCACATAATTAAAAAATATGTGACATGCCGCGCGCTAATAACTAATACTTCACCCTGAATGCGTGGAGAGCTCGATGGCGCAGGTGGTTAGCGCGTTCGGTTGCGATCGTTGACCAATTTCGCAGTGGTCGGTCACATCAAGCCGTTGGTCCCGGCTGCATCTGCAGTCGTTAGCACCCGCCAATCGGCACTGGGCCCACGTGGTGTGTCATGGCCCAATCTCCCTATTCCATCCATAGGGAAGGCCTGTGCCCCAGCAGTGGAGACATTAATAGGCTGATGATGATGATGATGAATGCGTGTAACTTCGCAGCCACCATTCAGGGCTGGATTTAGGGCAAGGCAGGCACGGCTGTGAGCCAAAGACCCAACAGAAATAAAAAAAAACGTGTGGCAGTCGGGGACTGCCGCGGTAAAGCTATTGCATAGCATTTTTTATCAACTTATACAATTAAAATTATTTATTTATTTTATTTATGCAGTTTTTTTTTCATTGATATTAATTCAAGGCACAGTTTTTGACCGCAGTGACCGATGAGATTTTTTTTCTTTTATTAAATAAATTAGAAGATATCATGGTATCAAATATTTTTATTATCTTACAATACATGTAGGTTATTCCGGATTTTTTATCATTGAACCAATAGGTTTCGACTAGTCGCGGGCTCGAACTCACTCGTGGACGCGGCCACGCGGTTGGATTGTGTCTAAAAGAGATAGAATCAGTTATGGGCAGTTAGCAGCATGTTAGCAGCTAGTCTACACGCATATGTCTAGTCGCACGCACACAAACACCGTGCCGAAATCTGCCGAACTGAAACGACGTTAGACGAGGCACGGCTTTCAACGCCGCACGTTACGGAATTTCTTGATTCTAATAAAAGCTATGCAATAGCTTAAAAATACCCATATTTCGACGGGTCACCAACTAGGGGGGATGGGCATAACGTAAAGAGCGCGGATGCCAGATTTTAAAATAGGGAGAATGGCGTATTACCTTGCCTCACCATACGAGCCCAGTACGAATTGGTCAGTGATAAGCTAACGATGCAGCCGGAAGCCGGGATCAATAGTTTAACCTAACTTAATATACATATACATTTCACAGCAACACGGTTTTGTCAAGAAACGATCGACTCTCACTAATTTAATGTCATATTCCACATTCTAATTTGAATGTATGGATAACCGTCAACAAGTCGATTTCGTTTACACTGACTTCTGCAAGGCTTTCGACAAGGTTGACCACGCTATCCTTCTACGCAAGATAGCATTTAATGGGATTCGTGGAAATTTGTTTCGCTGGTTTCATTCTTACATAACCAATAGGACCCAAAAGGTTGTGGTAAATGGCTTTTCCTCATCAACGATTTATGTATCTTCGGGTGTAGCTCAAGGTTCAATTTTAGGGCCTTTGCTTTTTATTTTATTTATAAATGATATTTCCCAATGTTTCATTAATAGTAACTTCCTCCTGTATGCTGATGACTTAAAGGTATATCGCACCATCACGAACTTTGATGACTGCATTAAACTTCAACAAGATTTAGACCGCCTCTCACTGTACTGTAGCATTAACAAACTGCATCTCAGCATACCAAAGTGTA